TGATTTTGAATAGATGATATAGATTCGATGAATTGATTAGGAACAATTGATTTTGACCTGACAGTAAGATAGTGTTTATGATGATAGACTCTTTACTACGTTGATGGATATTGACTAGGAGCACTTATTGAATTTGATGCTGAGACGTATTGATTTCGAAGTGTTTTTACTGCTGATTGATTTCCGCTGTAATGGATTTGTCATGGCATAGACTCATATTATTTTTGACCTGCATATGATAGCACCGCGTGCTTTGATTTTCATTGTAAGGTGGTGACCTGCTGGGCTTTGTAAGCTCATTAATATTGTGTTAATGTTTCAGGTCCGAGCGAAGGCAACTGGAAATGGCAGTATCGATCAGAATGTCAGACGTATCCATTTCACGATATTGTTCTGGGGCATCACACTTCCGACCTCCTCACACAACGTTTTTGACCCAGGTCTCCTGCCGACTACGGTCCTTACGACATTACCTCCCTATACGGTCAATCCGACCTCCATCACAGACAACGGTCTTTCTGACCCGGTCTCCTGCCGACTTACGGTCCTTCGACTTCGTCACATACTAATGGTCCTTCCGACCTCCATCACCAGACAATCGGTCTTTCTGACCCAGGTGCTCCTGCCGATTACGGTCCTTACGACCTCCATCGCACTACTACGGTCAGTCTGACCTCCATCAACAGACAACGGTCTTTCTGACCCGTGCTCCTGCCGACTACAGTCCTTACTCTTGTCGCCTACTACGGTCCGTCTCGACCTTTATCAACAGACAACGGTCTTTCTGACCCCGGTTCTGTCTACGGTCCTTCGACCAAACAAACATGTATATTTCCCTACCATGTAATGCAATCTATATGATGTATATTTGCTACATCAATATAAGGCCTTCTCCAAAGAAAGACCTCATTTGTAATCGATTGCAAATACTAGTAGATTCATTCAAACTGGGCCAGGCCCAGTGGTTTTCCCCCCTTTTTTCAGGGGTTTTCACGTAAAAACTCTAGTGTCTCTTATGAATTGTTTCACCCCTCTCCTATCTGCTTGTGTGCTGGATCTTCATACAATGCTAAGACGTTAAACCATATATTTCTCTACGCCGCGAATATTCAGGATGCAAACAATATATTTATAATATATATAATTAGATTTTCAATAGATTATAATATTTCATATATTATATTGAATTATAGAGAAATATGATGATAAACTAATGTGACATTAATGCATATAAGTAAGGAAGACTAGATGTGAACTCTATAATTAATACGTGTTGGCAATTAAAACATAATACCATATACTTGAGGGTGGACCGACAGTCTTTCCTTTAAACAAAAAGTTTGTGGTGTAATTTGGATGTTAGCCTATAATTGATTGACTGATTATGCTGACGAGTAGAGAATGACCACTCTTTATATATTTATTAAAAACCACATGATAAAATAAATGATTCGTAGAAATAATTGAAAAATATGATTAATGATGGATTGATATGACCAAGGAACGATAGATGGAAGGATGGAATTATTATTGGATATCCAGCTTTGTCTATTCATACAATCATATACATTTTGCCCTTTACATTGATAAATATGATGAATTGATTTTATTGATTGATAAATAGAACTGGTAGAACCAGCATTGAGATTGATATAATATGAAATAATATATGATAAAAAATATTTATATATATATAAACATATTGACACAATATATTGATAAACATATTAGATATAGTATATTGATATGGCATATTTATAGACAAATACATGAGCTAATATTTGATTGAAAACATATAATAGAACCATCAACATAAAAATTTAATAGCTTTGTAGTCAATATTATATTAATTATATTGATATTTACTTATTGGACTATGTGCTCATTATATAATTTTATTTATCTAAAGTATGGGAAAAGGACTTGTCGAGTGAAAATTGTTCAAAAGTTAGAGTTACAAATTTAGTTGATATTGTTAGCAATATTGTTTTATTCTTTTGTAACCAAAGTGCTTAGGGATAGCTTGATGTTTTAAATTGAACTTCTAGTTATTGTATAAAAATTTTAATTAATGATTTATATTGATAGATGATATGATAATAATATACTTTTTACTATTTTAATTGATATAATAATGAATATATATATATATATAATATATATATATATATTATATAATATATATCCTTTTACATATATATTAAAAAATATATATATATATATATATATATAATTCTTCCAATTTAAATTATGGAGCGTTACAAATTTGCCTTATAGAGATTTATAACAAAGGTGATCTTTTGGTTGAAAAAATATAATATAATATTATTTATAAAAAATGCCCATTGATATCGAGACATTTAATTTGACCAACTTTGGTGTCTTGGGCTCTCTCATTGAGACATTTAATTTGACCATAAATTTGCTAATATTGGAGCTTGGATGGTCAAAAAATTAATTTTTGAAATTTCTAATTCTTATATGCGTCGAGATTCATGTATGATCAAGGCAATTTTTAATGACATATCAAGGATGAAATAAGGGCACTCTCCAGCAGGTTTTCTGTTAGAAACTAAGTACTCATTTGGGCGGAAATTTTGCCGAAAAAGGCTGAATTTTTCACGGCGGAAATTTCGTTGGTTTGGTGGTTGGAATTTCCATCAATTCCTATTAATTTTTATTTTATCCAGTGAACGTACGCTCCTCTACGTTCGGATCTAGGCAAAAAAAGCGCAATACCGAGTACCGAGTTGTACCGAGTTTTTTCAAAAAACTCGGTATTGCGCTGTTTTGATCTAAAACCGAACGTAGAGGAGCGTACGTTCACTGGATGTAATACCGAGAGGATCCTAATCACCACATCAAAGACGCCCAACTGTCAATCCTCGTTCAAGAGCCAAAATGCAAAGAGGAAGTTTTTGAAAGGCACTCGAGAGATCATTTTTGGCTAGTAAAACATGATTTTGGATATTAGACACCAACTGACTATTCAAACAGGTCTTACCACGACATCTATAACAAATTATTTTTATGTTATTTAACTACAAAACGCTATTGAAGCTGTTGATGCCCTATTTGGTTTTATGGAAATGACAGAAGGTAAATGAAATGAAAGGAAGTAAATGAAATGGTAAAATAATTGAATTCCATTAAGTCTCCACCCATTTGTATGTTCAGAAGAAATTTAGAGCAAAATATTTTAGTCGGTAGATGAGAAATGGAGTTTTTGTGTCTTATAAAAGGGGCAAATGTGAGTCATAATGTTGACCGAATAGAGTATTATTCTCATTTCTCATTAGGGTTGGATAGAGAATTCTAAATGAACAAAAAAAAAAAACATGATCATATTTTTGTAGGTAAATCTATTTATATTAATTATCCTGTAACCAATCTGTAATTGAGAAATTGAATGAATTTGCATTTCCTCCAATTCATTCAAACCAAACAGAGCCGAAATGTTTCAAAGACAATAAAAGCTACATTAGGACTTACCCTGAATATGCAGAAAAAGAAAAACCAACATGGTTTGAATTTTACTCGAGGTAATACCATAAATTTCCATAAGAATAAAAGGTGCACAGCTGGTAGAAGATAACCTTGCAAATTCAACAAACCAGATGAGGCTGTGCACTGGTGGTGTAATGCAAAAATCCAAAGAGAATTTTGTTCCATCTGAGAGATTCCCTTGCCTCCATAACGTCAAGTAGATTCGGTGAACAGATACTGAAGCAAGGGAGCCACCACGGCAATACTGAGACTATTCCCAAGTAGGGCATACCTGAAAAGCATGATGATAGTTCCAATAGTCCAGGAAAATCTTAGAAGGAACAATTAAAATTAACAAAATTGATTGCAAAAAATTCTAAAAAAGGTTAGCATCGCATTTTTTTGACAAAATCAGTGAATTTACATATCATCCAACAAACAGCATAGTGATCAGGAAATACTATCTGAACATATCAGATGCGGACATCATCAAAATGTTAAAGCTGGTGGACAGATTAAAGATAATTTACGAATTAATTTTGATCAGGTAGTATGCCACTTAGAATATTTTAAAATGACTAAAACACATTATATGAGAAATTTAGACGCTATCATCGCCTCCATATGCAGTCACAATTTCTCTACCATCTATATGCTAAAACCAAGCATCCAGGTCATGTGTTATGGCTCTTGTAATTCTAACAAACTTCACTAACACCACCACAGGAGCCCTAACCCATCTATGGACGGTGAACTTCTAGAATACTCATTATAGTTTCTGTTAGAGGAACATAATATACCAATCATTTTACCAATCTAAAAATATAATGGTTATACACGAAATTGCAATAATTTTAACTACACAAATCCAACCAAAAGAAGCAATTACCAGATCAAACATTAAAGTTAAGCAGACTGCATAAAAACCTGTAAAAGGTTCAAGTCCCTAGGTCTTTACATCATAAACATCGCACATAATACACTGAGAAGATGAAGTTTGGCAGATTAGATGAAATAAAGGTAACCATTTGCATAACCAATAAATATTCTTTTAGCAACGAGTTAAAAAGTAAATATCATTCATTCTTTTGTCCACCCTCTGTTTGGGTTAAGCAGCATATACTGGTATTGGATCAGATGATAAGTGCTATGTTACACTGAAATAAGTGGAAATTAGCTAAAAAAAGGGATCCATAACTAAGTTAATCTAAAATGTGAAAAATAAAGTATTTCTTGCACTTAGTCCTAATGATTAAAACATTTGAAGGAGCCAAATATTCTTGTATAACATTATAGAGCAATCAAAGTAACTTACTGCTGTCTAATGGTTATGTGCTCTGGGAAGCAGAAATCTAATGGGAAAGAATGCAAATTAGCCACCTGCATAGTAAAAACAGCATTTCAACTGCACATTTTAATTGAATTAAAATTTCCATGATTGTACCAATACACTAACCTCACGTGGAGTGAAATAACGAAGTCCCAAATCTTTCATGAAGCAAGTTCCGGTACTCTTTGCTGCTTCATAATTGAAATTCTAACATTTCCAGAAATTATAAATGTTGCATGTTTGTTAGGAGAAAATGAAGTGCTTGTTAAATATTAAATGAAAGAGTTAGCACACAAGAGCAGGACTCCTACTTCAGAAGTAGCAAGTAATGATCCAGTACCCTTCACATAACGAAAATAACTTTTGGTAAAACAACAACAGCGCTTGGAACTAGGATACACAATATCTGTGAAAATTGAGGAAATTTCAATCCAATTCAAAATAGAAAATAAGAAATTCTTCGGACCAAACCCATGGAATTACAATCCAAATATAAGGATACCCACGGCACTTCCCCACCTCTCTATCAAACTGTGGGGAACAGCAAACTTTTCCAAGAAGTCCACACTTCCATTAGCCTCTTTACCATGACAATCTTGCTCAAATCCCATCAAAGACCCAGATGTTTCAAGAAAATTGCTTATGGATAGGCATGATAAGTAACTTTCTTCCTTAACCTTTTCAGGTAGGCATGCATCCATCAGCGTCTTGTCCTCCAACGGTACTAGTGGAGTGAGTGTATGACATAATTGATAATTAAGAGACGGGTTCTTGAAAGATATTGGCTTTCTCTTTGCCTAAAAAGAAAGATCAAGTATTACCAAAGAAAAAAAAAAGGTCATAAAGAGCATACAGGTAACTAGCTCCATGTTTGAAATAAAAAAAAACTTCGTGCATTCCCAATAAAATAACTGTAGAGTCACCCACACATTTGTGCCCATTAAAAATTGTTCGTATTAATAATACACAATATATAGAAATGATAAAAAATCATCAGCAATTTCAAACTTTATATCGATGAATCGGCAGCAAAGATTTGGCATGCATGACAATTGATGGAGGAAGCTAATAGGAAGTGGTTGTAAAAATCCTCTCTTGGCTAAAATTAAATTACAACAATCCCAAACACAATCTCTAAGAGGAATTAAGAGCAATAATAAGAGAAAACTCTTTTTAATTGATAATATACGGAAGAAAACAACAAAATACAATGGATTTTCTATTGGATAGAAAGATCCGGCTCTCTCAAATCCTTAGCCTCCGGCTAAAAACCAAAACTCCCTAAGAACAATCTAAATTTAGCAAATAACATAATTTTGAAATCACCCTATTGTTAGTCTTAAATAGGCTCCCCTAATTCCCTCCCAAATCAACCCCCTTTCCCCAAATAATTCTCTCTCATATTTAAATTCAAATCAGATATCTTGCCCTAAATAATTCGCTCCCAATTGTAATTAACACTTTCCTAAACAATTCCCCTCGATTCCTCCTCCCTTTCTATAAATAATTCCCTCTTAGATTTTAAATTCAAATTAGATCTCTTGCCCTCAATAATTCTCTCTCAATTATACCATCTGGGTCATTAGTATTAAGGTCGTGGTGGTACTCCTGTAAGCCCCTCCCATGGTGTTGCTTCGGCTGATCTTCTCTCTCTGATGTTTCTCTTCCATCCTTTAGCCCAACTTCATCGTTTCTCTCAGACCTCTAAGCCTCAACACCATGAACTCTGCTCGTATGTCTTACTTAAGGCATTTCATGAAATTTTCTTCCAACCCTTCCTCAAAAATTCATCTCAATCTTCCTAACTGTAGCTCGAATTTCTCCCGAGACACTATAACGGTCCCCTCTTCTGTTAAGGCATAGAACTGCTCATGGAGGTCTCCTTCCCGAATGACTCGAAAACTTTCCAATAAGCAATCCTTGAATTCTCCCCACGAATAGATAGGATATCTGGTCTTCCTCCACTGAAATCAAGCTAGGGATTTCCACTCCAAGCATAGTCCCGCCGCAACGAGTTTCTCCCCTTTTGTCAGTCCATTCATAGAAAAATAGCATTCTACTCTATACAACCAACCCTGAGTGTCTTCCCCTTCAAAGACTGGTATTTTTAACTTCTTTCATCTGGCCTCCATACCCCAATTATTTCTTCCTACGTTAGTTCCCCCGTGAAGTGATGATACAATTCTCTCCCTTCCTCCCTTGGATGGATTGGACCCCATGGTTCGGCCCAACCATCACTTCGTCCGACCCATCCTCCATCCTGCCTGAGTGGTCTCCAAAAGGCTTCGGCCTCCCCTCTCCTTGTCGCCCCTTCTTCGGGATACCTTGATGCACCTCCCATCGGAGCCATTCGGGATGGTTCTTGAGAAAAAACCATCTATACTTCATCATTGTCCTCATGAAATCTCTTTCCTTCCGGATCAGCTCTAGGATTAGCTGGTGAAGCCTTTGACTGCATCTAGATTAATTTCCTCATCATGCCTTCCATGTTCTCGAATCAGTTTTTCATTCGGGTTTCCATGGACTACAGCCTTCATTCCATCGTTGTGAACCTTCCTTCCATTCCGGCATATTTTTCCTCCATCACGGCCTTGAATTGTTCCATCACTCTTTCCAACGCCTTCATCTTCTTTGCTGATGTGGGAGCCCTTGCATATTTAATACTACACCCGGGCATCAATACAATGACCCTTGCATATTTTTCGTTGTATTTAGGCCATACAACATGTTGCTTCTAGTAACGTCCTAACATTAACACAATGTATTAAAAGATTCATGACATGATTTTTAGACAAGTTTTCTGCTAAATTGCTAACCGTCAACTGTCTAACACAACCCTCCATTTTTCTTATCTAAGACTTGAGACCTAGCAACAACAGTGTAAATATCTTGTCAATCTCTTTTCCCATAAATTTTGAGACGCAATCCATAGATAAGAAATGAGGAAATATGTGAAGATTAGCGAGAAACTTCTATGAATGAACCAGAACATTAAGAGTTTTTTTAGAAAGAAACAAGCATTTATAGGAAGGGGAAGAAGTAGCTTCAATATCCTTCCCAGATTTTCTGTTCTTATTCTTTTGCACCAGCATCTTGTCAATCTCTCTTCATATAAATTTAAGGCGCGGTCCATAGCTTAGAAAGGAGGAAATATGTGAAGGTTAGTGAATAAGCTTCAAGGAAAGAAGCACAAACATTAAGAGTTTTTGAGAAAGAAACAAGGAAGTATTTATAGAATTTCTTAGCATTAGTATAATTGAAAAACTTCCAGTCAAAATGATTAATTACAGTTAAATTGTTGACTTAGTAAGAGAATATATTCTCTTGCTCTTCTCACAATTGACCATTAAAGATACAAGAGAATTAAGGAACTAAATGCACACCCAAATATTTCAAAACTTGATTCAGGCTAACCTAATTTAGCTTAATGGACTCACTAAGTTCAAGATAGACTCAGCAAGTTTTGAGAGAATTCGCCAAAGAAACCCAAAGTTCATCAGAAACAATCTAGTCGACTACTTTATAAGCAAGTGCCAACTTCACCAACAAAATAGCGACCTTGTCAGCAAGTTACTTCACTAGCTATTCAACAATCAAGTCAGAAACTAGCCCTTAATTGAGTAGTTGATCAAGCTGAAATCTCATCAGTTATGGACTCATTCCCATTTTGGCCACACCTCATTTATATTACAACATGTTACATTTATGCTTTCTTTCAATTCTTTTATGCTCAATCTATAGCGAATCCTGCAGCGTCTGACCTAATCTAAACCTATAAATAGTAAACCCTATGAAGAGCTTAAGGGAGGAATCAAATTTTTATAATCAAGATAATAGTAATAAAATCCCATAACTTCCCTCTATCTCTAATTCTTATTTTCTCAATCTCATTGTGTGTGTTAGTTAGTAAGGTTCTGATTTAGTAACAGACAATTATGAATTCAACAAAAAGATTTGTCGTTTTAAAAATTTGAAGGCCACAAAAGCTTTTTGACAACCAAAACCAACTACAAAACTCTGCAAAACCCTAGACAAGTCAAAGAACTCGGCCACCAAGAAAATCCACTACATAAGGCTATAAAATCACCCTTCATATGCTAATTCAAGATAGAATCGCCCTGAGAAGGCAAAAGATTTAAAAAACATCAACTCAAAGAACTAATCAGCTGCAAGCAAGCCATAATGGATACCAACTTAGTCTACAATTTCAGCCACAAGTTTCCAAAGCAGCCACAAACCACCATCAAGTAGGAGAATAATAATTTCCATAACAGGGAACAAGCATTTTTTTAGTGGAAAGAAAATAAAAGAAAAATGCTACTAAAATAAACACCCAAACTACTAAAATAAAATCGTTCTTTTAGCTTGTTCGTCTTAACAAACACGTGTTGCATTCCATTGATTAAAAGCTTTAAGACATCAACAACTCAATGGTGATTGTCATGAATACTCCATTAATATCCAAATTAACGCGAGTTAATATTGAACACAAGAATGACTAGCATGTATAACAAACAGATAGACTAGTGATTTCTACTAGCAGACTTTTTTTAGCTTATGTAGTATTTACAGTAATAGAAGAGTTAGCCTACCAGACAGAAATAACGAGGCCTAGAATATGGAATTCTAAATTGCAACGGGCTCAGGATATATTCTTGTGTTACAAAAGTATTCTTGGCAAAAATGTCCATCATGTGCTTATGCGTATTAGATATCTGAAAGTATCAAAGGAAACAATGTCAGATGGGTGGAGATATCATGCTGAATAAAAACTAACGTATAAATTTAACACAAAAAGTTGATAAATACAAACCTCAAAACCTACAACATTTTCTACAAATAACATGATCGGAGGTTGCCGCATTTGTGGAATAAGCTCGAGAATCCATATAAAAGAGGATGCCCGAGCATCAGCTGAGTCTTTATGAAGACCTAGAAATAATAAAAAATTAGCAAAAATCTGTTAAGAAAACTGGAAGGTAAAAATGACGCAAAGCTGCAAGAAGTACTTATTTTGAACCTTGTCGAGTGTAAGGCTGGCATGGAGGAGAAAGCAGCCATGCATGTGCAGCATATTTGTCTAGTTCAGCTGCAGAGAGGCTTTGAATATTTCCCTGCAGCATCATAAAATGGAAAGGCAATTTCATAAACATTTTTAAGCAATATAAACTACATATATATACATTAAACAATTGGCTACGAAAAGATAAATTGGTAAAAAATTAGGTAGGTTGAAATTCTAAAAATAAAAACATTCTTCACTTCAAATAATAAAAGCTATTAACTAGTGTCTGCTGATAAACTTTAGTTATCGACTAAACAAAGCAGATCTATTTAACATTGCGCAGAGCAAGTGGTGATAGATTTTCCAATAACCAATAATAGATAACAATATAAACAGTATAACTGAAAGGGAATATTCGAGACAAAATAACACCTAGGGTAATGCAACCTGAAAGGGACGACATCCAAAATTGTGCATGTACACATCGTTGGCTCGATCATTGATGTCAAATGCCTCTACTATATTTGCATGAATCTCAGCCCTCATCAGGGAGTACCTCTACAATGGAATAACAAGACCAAATAGAGTTGCACTGGAGAAGATGAAAGCAAATCAAATCCAGACAAGCTTAATAACAGCTTGTAATATGAAATAAATAGCAGGATAGATGACAGTAACATTCAGGTTACTGCTTACCATACCACCAATGCCGCTGTAGAATTCAAGAATTTTCCAGGGTTCTTCCGTAGTGCGCTCTGCCATTACCTAACTAAATCCGACAAAAAAGTAAAAGGGGTTTGGATACTGAAACAAATACAAAGGGTTATTTGCAAAATGAAGTTACATTCTTAATCCAAAATAAACAGGTTGAGTCACAGAGGTTTCAAAAAGGAAATTTTCAAATTCAGAAAACCGAATGAATTGCTGCATGGCTTGTAAAAAGTTTAAATTACCCAAATTAGTTCAGATCCACACGGCGGATTCTAATTAGTTAAATTTGAATAGCAAACGACCAATTTATAATAAAAAAACATGAGCTAAAATCTACTAGGCAAATCATTATGGATTAGGAAAGAATTCATGTGCTTATGGCGCATTCCGTTTCGATCTCTCTTTTAGAATTTTGGTAAGAGAGTGTAGAGCAGCATAGAGTTTGAAGGCAGGCTACTAAAAACTAAACTATCCTAGAGATTTCTTCAAAAAGGAATTTGGAAAATCCATGATTTATATTAGATCTAGTAAGTCAAGGTTCTTCAAAAGTGAAAACCCTCCTGATTAATTACATCTCAAGCCCAACGACACCCGAGAACATTCTTGATTGTATCCATTTCTATGCTATGAATTAAGGTCGATTGGGGCATGGTTAGAAATGGGTGCTCAACTAAATCAAGATTCAAAATTCAAATGTCATGAGCAAACCTCGAGAACCTAGTTAACCAATAATAGAGGATCAGAAGGCCATATTGTCCAAAAAGCTTAATTAGAAATGATGTGTTGGCTCCTATTAAACATATCAGTAAATTGAAATGGGCTCTGAAAATTCACGCCCCGGCCTCTCTGAATTTGGGAGAAGTTTTAATAGATGTGATGAGTCAGATTTTCAAAAGAAAATTTAGATTGAAGATAAGATACTACCAAGAGATTTCTTTCGCATTTTGCGAGGACTTTAAGATCTGAGTTCATGTTTCCCATAGGCACATAGGCCCAAGTCCCTATAGTTAATTACCCTTCTCAATAACAAGAGAGCACTTTCGATTAAATAGATATTAAGTATCTCACATATAATAGCAATAGATTTGATGTTTAAAATTTGAGATTTATCATGCATACACTTAAAGAAAGTGGATGGTATAAGGTAACAAATCCGTTTAAGATCCATAGTTCCATCATCCCGAGTTGTCACGGTCCCTTGTATATTTAGTTAGAGGATGTAGTTGGCCCAACCTGACCAAAGAATCTTTGTCAATAGTCACAGGTTGTTTTGTCCAAAGTTACCTTGTAACCCAAGTTGGATGTTTATTTAAGGGTACAAATTTCAGTTGATCTTAGCTAATATAGAACTTTGTTTTATGTATTACCAAATATATTTTATGATTCATTACCTAAAAGTTATAGCCATTGGGGAACATATGAACTCTGACCGTGATCGTAATTTAATGATGTCTTTTCATGGCAAAACCACTTGGTCAGAAGGTCCCAACCATAACCGTTTTCATGGGTGTCATTTGACTAAAAGATAATCAATTATAGGATACGCTTATATCCTTACTAGCTAGCGATAGTTCAAAAATGAATATTAGTGATTTCTATAAGATATTGACTTTTTATGAGCTAAGGTTAATCTTAAACTTATCGCCCTTGACAATCGATTATGGATGTGGATAAATTTTTGCTTTAAATTTCAAGAGATATAATCACTTCGAAATGTTTTCTAATTTAGATAAATATTAAATTTTTTAAATTTATGAAGATTTAAGCCCCAAGCGATTACCTTGGAATTTTGGGGCATTTTAAAAATCATATAATCACCTTTGATTGAAATTTTCTATCAATGCAGTCATCATCTGGGAGGATTTGTCTCTTTTTATTTTGTAATTTGAATATTTTCAACTCTACACACTTACTTCCTAAAAAAATGGAAGAGGATCGGATTTAATATGAGCACATGTACCATTTGCATGATTTTTGGTGCGCTAATGCAATGCACTTGCATACTTTTTGTGCATCCACATAACATGTTTGCAAGCCTTTTTAATATACATTTATTGAATTTTATTATTTTTTAAATAACAACATGCTTTTTCAGACAATTGCGCACTATTCAAAATAATGACATGTTTCTCAAGATGGCAACACAACTTTTTATGTGATGGCAAGCTTCTTAAGGAGATGGCATGCTTATCAAGAAAGTGACATACTTTTAAAGATGGTTGCACACTTGTCGAGATAAGTGCATGCTTCTCGAGGCTTGTAATTCAACTTTTAAAATTATACTCAAATACATGCCTTTTTTGAAAAAATTACTCAATTTTGATTATTTTATATAGGCGTTTATTGTTAAAATGAGCTCAAAGTTTCCATCTAAGGTTTTCATTTTGTCATTAGCAAGAAGTTTAATTTTTGAAGTACAGAGAAATTGGTTGGGCAGTTGGGTTGTAATGACTGTTTATATATTAACTAAACTACAAACCTAACAAGTTTTACAATAATTATATGACATTGTTGATTTTCTACGAATTTTTAATGTTGCATTAATTTTTAAAATTGAATTTGAGAGAAAAATTTAATAAGTTGGACATGGCTCTTTGAAGCATTGCAACGTTGTATTATTGACGTTGTGGCACTATTGTCTCTGTTTATGGCGATACAGGGTCGTCATGTGGCACCGCGGCACTACTTTTTGTATTTTCAAGAATTTAATAAGTGGGAAGCACCTCTTCAAGGCACCATGGCGCTAATATCTTTGTTTTTAAAATAGAATTCAACCCTTTGGAGGAGCTACTGTGTTGAAGGAAAATTTAGCGTCGCGGCGCTAAGAAAAATATCTTATATAAATATCTAAATCCACTTTCAAAATTCATTTTCATTTCATTTTGTTTCTTTGGTCGAGAGAAGAGGAAAAGAGAAAGAAAATGAGGAGATGAGAGAAGCCAAATTTGGAGGTCTTAAAGTCAATTTCATCCATCATGAAAGTTTAAAATATTGTTCAAATTGAGGTAGGTTATCGTTACCCCCACTTTCAAAATTCATTTTCATTTCATTTTGTTTCTTTGGTCGAGAGAAGAGGAAAAGAGAAAGAAAATGAGGAGATGAGAGAAGCCAATTTTGGAGGTCTTAAAGTCAATTTTATCCATCATGAAAGTTTAAAATATTGTTCAAATTGAGGTAGGTTATCGTTACCCTTCTTCAAACTTTAATTTTATGACTCGTGTAAAATTTTAGTATTTTATTTGGTTAAATTTCATAGAAACTTAGATTTACGAAGATTGAAAAATTTTCACCATGTAAATTTTAATATGCTATAAAATGAAATTTTCTAGCAATATTATCATGCATAAATTAAATTTTACCATGTATTTTTGTTGCATAACATTTCAAGCTTTTTAACAAGTATATTAACACTAATAAAAATTGTTATAGAACAATAAAAGTTTCAAAATATTGGTTTGGATATTGCATGTGAATAGTTCTATGATTTATAACTGTTAAAATGTATATACAAGCTTAATCCCATGAAACCCAACTATTTGTTGTAAATATGAAATTTTATATAATTTTATGATAAGTCAGATATTGTTTATATGTGTTGAAAACATGGATATTCTTATACTCACCTGTCTAAAAATATGAGAAAAATGGGAAGAAGGAAAAAAAATACAGGTAAGTCGTTATTGATATTTTATGTGCATTATGAATATTTTTGGGATATGACAAGTATTGTTTATACATGTTAAAAGTACTGATATTTTTATATTCATATCAAAAATATTGATTTTTACACATGTTAAAATCATTGATGTTTCTTTGCTCATGTGACTGAAAAATGCATGAGAAAGGGGGAGAAGGAAAATGCAATTGGCTGGTGGTGAATATTTTATGTGCAGAGTCTATGTACATATAGTCATATACGATTGTCCACCTGTGCATTTGATACGATTGAACATATATGATATGAGTGGGGTTACAAGGAGTATAAGGGAAATATGAACAAGTTGAGATATAAGTGAAAGTGGAGATATAAAAAGACAAAAGGTAAATATGAATTAATAGAAGAATAAGTGGAAGTGGAGGTATAAGGAGGCGAAGTGAAAAAGTGTGAAATGTTTCTTTTTTTTCATATTATTTCATTTCTGACATCATGTTATTTTTAACATATACCTACTACTAACATATTTCTGATAATTACAAGACAAAATATAAACATCATGTTAGTTTACTATAAACATGTTTTACTATTTATATGATGTTATATTGATATACAAATTATGTTATGTACGTGCATCAAATTCTATAGTAGATTTCGAGTAACCAACTGAGCAAGTATTGCTCACTCCTAATTTTGCTTGCCCATATTAATTTCAAGAAAGGATAAAGCTCCAGTTGAATAGAAACTACTAACACCCATTGGGACCTGGATGAGTTATGTTTACTTCATAGACATTATTTTGACAGACATGGTAAATATATATGATTAGGTGGAAGGGCTACGATAGCTTTAGGAGGAAGAACTGGGGAAGAGGAGTTGCGGATTGCATGAGAGTAACAAGCTCGAAGGGCTGGTGGCTTGGTTTATCAACATTTGGGTGAGGGAGTAGGTGGTGTCGGGGGGTCGCAAGTGCAGGTGACGAGCTGGGGAATCACACGAGATGTTGGAGGGGGAGTTAGTGCTAGGCTGGAAGCAAAGAAGTTGGCTTCAAGCAGAGGGGGATGGAGAGGCTGAGTCGAGCAAGGTGGAGGAGAGGTAAGGGTCGTGCGACACGAAGATGGGGAAAGAGTCGCATGTAAACCAGTGAGTGAGGTAGTGGTAGAGTGTGACTAGTTATGTGAATAGGAATTTTGTGTTCTTTTCGCAAGTTAGATGACAAGAGGTGATGGAAGGCGGCGCCGAATTTTTAAGATTTGGCATGGGCAAATGTTAAATAAGATAGGATAGAAAAAAATTTCTTTCTTTTTTTACAGATATATGATTTCTTAATAAATTTAACTAAAAAAGAAAATCATAAGAAGGAAAATAAATAAAAAAAATGTGAATTAACCCTTTGCGAAATT